TCAGTTTTTGGCATGGAGTAAATAACTCATTTTCAGATACTTTGCCTGTGTAATTAAATTTAGATTGTACATTTCGCATTTCAAATATTTTGACTCTTCCTTGTTTGTCATTCAATTGTAGCATAATTGGTGTGGCCTGTATAAATGGGCAATAAATTTATGGACTTTTGTTTGGGAGATCGAGCAATGAATAGAACTTGGTAATCATCCCAGGAGGAATTATCTTGAACATGCATGTGAGAGTTAAATAATTGAAATTAGTTTTGTTTTTGAATTAAAGACAATTAGATATTTCCAGGCATCCATAAAAGACAATGAATTGAGGAACAAGTTAGAAGCAAGTCCATTTGCAGGTGAAAAGAAATGTTTTTGAATTTGAACCAGCTGTATTTTCTATGAAAGAGAATTTCTGCCTGAAAGCATAATGTGCTCCAACACATCGTACACTGTGATGATATTCAAGAAATAGTAATGCATTAATTTTTAGAGTTGTAAATGCAAGCAAGGAACAGCTTTGGCTGAGGATAATAAGGATAACATCTGTGGGTTGGCCTATGGCAGGAGCTCAATTGCCAACTAAGGAAGTCTTGAAGCTTGCTTGCTTGCTTGCTTGCTTGCTTGCCTGCCTGCCTGCCTGCCTGCCTGCCTGCCTGCCTGCCTGCCTGCCTGCCTGTTTGTTTGTTTGTTTATTTATTTATTTATTTATTTATTTATTGTAATTTGTCAAACAAAAACAAAAACAGGAATAATATAAAATACAATTGCAGGGACAATAGGCACGTTAGTACACTTATACATGCCCCCACTGCAGATCTCTTAAGCATGAAGTTAGGTCCACAGAAGTCAATTTGTGACTAAAACTATGAAAATTTGTAGCTGAGACAACTGAATCAGGTAGAGCATTCCAGACGTTGACAACTCTATTACAAAAACCTTATTTTTTACAGTCAAGTTTGCATTGAGTTTAAAATGGTTGTTTGTGCGTGTATTATTGCGATTAAAACAGAAAAAGACATTTACAGGTGAAACTTTACTATGTACAATTTTGTATGCAATACCTAAGTCTGACTGCAAACAGCGCAGTTCCAAGTTATCCAGATCAAGAATTTTAATCATGTGATCATGTGAGATGGAGCGGTGCATCCAGTGGTCTGCATCACGTGCCTCTGCTTGCTGCTGGTGCTGCCTGTTTCTTGGACTGCCATCTGTGAAGCCCCTGGTGCTGGACAGCTTCCGCCCCACGTGCACACACATGAAAGGCCCGAAATGCTGGTGTGGGCGCAGCACTTATCTTCAACCTGGTGGCATCCACACCGAGATAAAGTACACTGACCCAAGGTGACACTAGCCCAACACCTCCTGGTAACTGCCCACACAGGTCCGGCCGACACAGGAGGAGGTGGGCACCTGCCCAAACAGGCCCAGCTCACGCCATCCCGGCAGATGTGTGTGTGCCTGCTGCCCAAATGGCATGGGCCAGGACTGTGCAGATGGGCGCCCGCCTTCTGTGTGCACAAGCACCTACCCGGATGATGTGGGCCGGCTGAATCTACGTGGACCAGCCCCTTACAGTTTCCAGGATGGCTGATGGGCTGGATCTGACCACATTACAGGGTGCATATCTACCCCGCGGGCCTTGAATTTCACACCCCTGCTTTAGGTGATAACTTAAGGCCAGTCATAAACCAACTAAAATTCTACCTGTAAATTACACATTTAACTACTATCACTTTAATTTACCTGATTAGCCCATGTGAATGAAAATGATCACAAATTTAGTTGCATACCTCTGGAGATCATCAAGTGAGAAACACTAATCTAGCAAATGTAGATCTTGTTTGAAGAACTTTCAAAGGATTTTGCATTGCTTGTATAAGCTGAATTTTCGGTTTGCAATCTTTTGGATTCCTCTGGTAGGTTTGCCATACAGGTGGCTATCTTGGGATTTTTATTCTTTTGTTTTAAAAAAGGATGAGTCAAGTATTTAAAGGAAGTTATTACTATTTTCCTTTTATCTTTCATTATGTCTTTTGTGAATTACACACAATTGATTCAAACTTGTATTCTCTCTTTTGATTTTTAATACTTAAAAAGGAGAGTGAAAAAAATTAATCACAGATGCTTTGTTTTTGAGATTTACCAACTGTAGATTCATTTGTAAAAATAGATTGTTTACAGTAAGGGTGGTTTCATTTCTTCATAACTATGTTTGCAGCAAATGTAGATTCAAGTTGTTAACACTGTCTTTAAATTCTGCTTGCATATATTGCCAATTATAAATTGATTCACAGTCAGATTTAATAAATAATAATAGGGAACATAAAATTTGTTTCAGCAGACTACCTGAAACCATTTATGTTGCCCTGATTAATGGGCTCTTTCTGCATACTTGGACATAGTCATGCAGCACATCAATAACCTTTTGTTGAAAGCAACTGATTCTTCTTAAGACATAATGGTACCGATTAAAATCTTGTATTACTTCTCCTCAGATGGATCTGATGTGCATCCAATGCACGTAATTGTCCTTAGACCTTGTGCTTCAGCCCAAACTATTTTTATCTGCATTTAAATTTATTGCTGCAGAAATTATTCCTATATATCATTGTTTTGTACTGCATAATTGCTTCGAAGATGAATGATTTATTGGAAGAAGAAGGTACTTCGTTTTACATCTTTCTACTTAATGGAAAAAGAAGGTATATTGCTGTAGGGCTGATTCAAATATCCCTCCTAATACTGTCTTAGTTAAGGGTTTTTTGTGAAAGAGCAAAATAATTTCTTGATGATTATAGCTAGACCTGCAGATCAGGATAATGATAAACCAGGTGTTAATTATTTTTTTAAAAAATGTATTATGCTTATATGTTGTCTTCAAACTAAACATTTATTTCACGAAGGCTTAAAAATCTTATATCTAAAAATGTGAACTAAAAAGGGCTGGATAAAATACATATTAAAACAATAACTTAAACTAAATATTTAAACCATTAGCTTCTTGACAACAAAATTAAGGTTCATTAAAAAGCAGTTCCCATTCAACTCTTCCTATGCTACCTCATTGTCACGGGGACAGTCGTCTTGGGAAGAATGAGCAATGAATTTCGGGAAGTAGGGCCAAGAACTCCCCAGACTCACTCAAGGTGTGAAAGTTATCTCAGTTGGTCAAATAAAGCAAGTAGGCATCTGTTCTGACTCCCTCCTCCGTTCAGTAACGAAAGCCCAGACAAAATTTCATTTATTTGTAATTAGAAATAAATATTTCACAATATATAATTACATATTGTTTTTGTGATTAATCACTATGCTTTAATTATGTTCAATTTATAACAATAAAAATATATCCTGCATATCAGATATTTATATTACGACTCATAACAGTAGCAAAATTACTGTTATAGAGTAGCAACGAAAATAATTTTACGGTTGGGGGTCACCACAACATGAGGAACTGTATTAAAGGGTCGCGGCATTAGGAAGGTTGAGAACCACTGCTCTAACCCAAAGTATGTCAGCAAATCTGGAGAACAGCCAATGGCGAACATATTAGAACAGGTTAACCTCTACATCCATATCAAAGAAAGGAGACATAACAGTCTGCAAACTATAGTACAATGTCCTTCATTTCATATGCTAGCAAAATAATGCTAAGGAACAGTCAAAATAAATTACAGCTCTGGTTAAAAGGAAGATACCAGAAGTTCAAGCTGGTTTTTAAAAAAAAAACTGAGGGGAAAGGAACTAGCAAACAAGAAAAATACCACAGACTAGCAGTTGGTAGGGTAGATTTTCAGAAATGACATTTAAATTTGCATTCATTGTGGAGTAAGATACATATTTTTTTATAAAAAGTAGATTCATGGGAAAATCTTTAAAAAATAATAATGAATGGCTCTCTGCAGCATCAAAACATATTATGAAATAGATTTTTCTGGTACCTTTTGTTGATCTCCCACTTCTTGCCCCAAATGGTATATTACCATTGCTAAACTTGAGTCTAACAAATGCTTGGCATGGCACTTATTGTCAATACATTTGCCTATGATTGTAGCCTAAACAACAACTTTATAAAGTGTAGCTTTCAGCTAATCTGACTCTGCTAAGGCAAAAAATAGCAAACTGCTATCATGCAGTTGAAATTATTTCAAAGTTGTCAAAACCTATCATTACTAAGGAGAAATGCATCTTATTTTAAGGACTGAATATGGGAGTAGGGATAATCATCTTTTATATACAGTAGAGTTATTTCCAAAGAGTATAGTTTTTCATGGCAAACAGAGAAAGTGTGCTACCTTCTGGATAGCTGGCTCAGGGATTCTGGGAAGTTCACAGGTCATAAAGGTACCATAGCTGCCCACCCCTGTGAAGTTACATCCCCCTTCCGAGAACCCCAGAGATTTGTGTGACTTCCATCCTAATGACAATTTGGTTTTTCCCCCCACAGGTGTTGGAAAAGAATGATGATGGTATCTCCATGGTCTTGAGGGTTTTTTTTTTTATTGGTAGTGTAGATAACTTCCAGTCTGCTGTAATTTTTTCCATATATGTTGTTTTTTTTCCCTTTTTAATTGCAAGTGAGCCAGAGTTATTAAGTAATTGGGTGGCCTCAAAGGGTAATTTAATGAATTAACCTCACTGCATGGAATCATTATATACATTTTGATTATTATGTGATTTTTTTCATTAAATAATTGCTCTGTTTGTGTACCCACCCTCTCCCTCTCCATGTACTGGAATTGGCATGACAATGTGGTATGTTATGGCAGCAGCGTTTTAGAATTGAATGTGATCATCCCAAGCACAAAATAATAAATTGTTCAGACTAGAGTCTCATGCAACCCCCATTTAAGCAAATGTCTCAGTGTGGTTCCATACTAGCTCTTTGTGACTATTAAAGATAGCAATGGTATCTTTTTTGGGACACTCCACAGTCATTAAACTATTGTCCCACATTGACTCGGAAGGGCAGTCAGTGATACATTTCCACATTTCCTCAACAGGAAAACAAGATTATAAGAAAACAAAACCAATGTTAAAAGCAGCACGACTGAAAGCAGAGGCCAAAAAAACTGCACCAGGCATAAAGGTATGGCTAGTATATATTTGCATCAATATCCAATAAATATTTCTTTTATCCAGAAAAAACTGTTGGATGAATTGTGAATTCTGTGAATTCTTTATCTCCCACCAAATTGCTTGACCATTAGTAGTTCAGATTCTTGTAGAGAGATTACAATAAATCTTATACCTTCCTGTTTTCCCTGTTTTCCCTGGCGCTTGAAATAGGTTTACAAAAGTTTGAAAAAGTTTGCCCCCCCCCCCCCCGAGACTATGGCCTTAAACTTTTCTAAATCAACCCCAGTGTGATACTTTTGATTTCATCACTAGCATGTTAATTAGTTTACTCTGGTATACTTTGATTGCCTGCCATTTTCATGTAGGCTTGAAAATAAAAAAAGTTTCATTTAGTCATTGCCATTTAATACTTTGTTAATTTCCCCAAAGAGTGATTTTTATCTATGTTGATAATGTCAGTGTAGCAACTTGTGAGCAATAAATATCCACTATTTTTTACTCTTCCTGAAGAAGGATGACTGTTTGATTGCTGTATTTGTATGCTTTTTGATGCATATTACGAGCTATTCGTGTGTTGATAGTTCCAGTATTAAAATGCTAGTTTCATGGGTATTGTTTTTAGCTATTCAACAAAAATCACACCTGCATTCAAACCATGGCCATCATTGATAATTTCCCCAAGTTTAGAAATGAACAGTTTCATGCCATGTCTCACAAGATGCTTTGTTAAACACCTCATCTGCTTTAACATAATGACCTCATGCACATATTACACTAAGCCAAAGTGTAGTTTGTTTATTTTTGGCATATGTTGAGCAAACCCAGATAGTTGTAACTTATATTGAAAGCCATGGTTGAGTAACTATGGCTTAATGTGATATGGGAGGCAAGCCAATAGATTTTCTTAAACGACTAACAATGCTTAACATATTTTTAGTATAATGCTTAACATATACCTGCACAAGTACAGTATATGTGGTACCTTGCTCAATCGTAGTAACTGAGAGGGATCTTGTAATCCTAGTGGACAATCATTTAAATATGAGCCAGCAATGTGCAACAGCTGCCAAAAAAAAAGCCAACATATTTCTAGGCTGCATAGGGATAGAATTCCCTGCAGAGGGATAGAATCAAGATCATGTGAAGTGTTAATACCACTTTATAATGCTTTGGTAAGGCCACACTTGGAATATTGGATCCAGTTTTGGTTGCCATGATGTACAAAAGATGTGGAGACTCTAGAAAGAGTGCAGAGAAGAGCAACAAAGATGATTGGGGGACTGGAGGCTAAAACTTATGAAGAACGGTTGGAGGAACTGGGTATGTCTAGTTTAATGAAAAGAAGGACTAGGGGAGCCATGATAGCAGAGGGAATCAAGCTATTCTCCAAAGTACCTGAGGGTAGAACAAGAAGGAATGGGAGGAAACTAATAAATGAGAGAAGCAATTTAGAACTGAGGAGAATTTTTCTGACAGCCAGAACAATTAATCAGTGGAACAACTTGCCTTCAGAAGTTGTGAATGCTACAACACTGGAAGTTTTTAAGAAGAAGTTGGATAACCATTTGTCTGAAGTGGTGTAGGGTTTCCTGCCTAAGCATGGGGTTGAACTAAAAGACATCCAAGGTCCCTTCCAACTATGTTATTCTATATTCTGTTCTAAATAGCCACTGATTGGAGAAACTGGATTTTCTACAATTGGAGGACATCAGCTTGACAAAAGCTGTTGCAAAGGATCAGGAACACACTTAGGAATTTTCACAGGAAACACTAAATGATTAAGATTTATTGCTAACATCTGAGAACAGAAAACATGTAATTATGCTGACATACATAAACCTTTATTGAAACCTGAAAGAACAAGCAGAAGATTATGAGAAGATGGACTAAGAACTTTGAAAATAACATATTGATTGAACACTTTAAAAATTGTGGTTAAAATGATTGACATTTATATTACGTTATAACTTAAAAGAAATTTGTTATAAAGTAATGTACCATTGGTGTGTGACTCCAGAAAAATGGTCTAAAATGTATAAAGGTACTTCAGATTTAAGTTAGAAATGTAGATAACATGAGGAATCATTTTATCATGCATGGTGGACTTACAAAAAAGCCAAAAATTTTGGGTTTCAATTACATATAATGGTATAGATTTTTTTTATAAATCAATGGTCAACTAAAAGCAGGACCTTTTTTTGCTGGCTTAATAAAGTCAATTAGAAAAGAACCATGGAAAATTATGTTTATATAAGATTATTGCTGTGAAAGTGTTGTAAGTGCAAAAATGGAAAGACTCTGAAATATACCGTATGTTGGATGATTGGTCTGTGAAGATGACAGAACTAGCAGAGATGGCAAAATTAACTTGTTGGATTAGAAAAAGATCAATAATTATATTTATTAGTAACTGGAAACCCCTTATGGACTTTGTTGAAAAAAAGAGAAAAATAAATTTGTGATTGATTGTTTCAAGATTTACAAGATTTAGCTTACAGAAAGAAATTATGATGTAACGAGAGAGAGAGGGGGGGCTATATACTGCTTCATAGTGCTTTACAGCCCACTCTAGGTGGTTTTACAGAGTCAGCATATGCCCCCAACAATCTGTGTCCTCATTTTACAAACCTCGGAAGGATGGAAGGCTGAGTCAACCTTTAGCCAGTCAGGATTGAACTAATGGAGTGAGCAGTGAGTTAGCATGCAGTACTGCATTCTAACCACTGCGTCACAATGGCTCTTATAAAGGTATCTATAACCATTTTCAAAAAGATCAGAACCCTTTAGAATCTTCCTTTTTTTCTCTCCTCCCCTCCCTCCTCTCTTTTTCTAGTTTTTCTTCTCTGTTTCTCTTTCATTTCTTATTACTTTTTTTTAGTCTTCTTTAATTCAACATTTGTAGTTTTTAATTCCGTTGAAAAATTTCAATAATTTTTTTTAAAAAAGAGAACAGAAAGCATGGAGTGCCATGCTGCAATATGTGGTCAACAGGGATAAACAAGCTGACTTTAAGGCAATTTTGTACACCAATTCTATTTTTTTTAGTAAGAAATTTTGATGAGCTTTTAGGACTCAGTTTAAAAACACAAGTGGAAAAAGAAGGACATTTCCTATAATTTCCAGAGGAGTCCAATGCATGATGGAATTTTGGTGAGTTTTAATATAATGAGAGAAATACATAACAACAAATCCATTAATCAACTGGATCTAATTTTGAAGCTAGTTTAGCCTAGGGAGAAAGCCAGCTACCATGCAAAATGAAATGGGAAAAGCAGGCACAGTAGAAACTATAGCATCCAGGGAGGTGGTAGGGTTAGGGTTAGGGTTAGCAGAAGAAGTTTCTAGTTGCGTGCCATTCATGCATTGTGTTTTTTGAGATGTTTGATGATCTGCTGTGTTTTTAATTCTATTAGATGAAACCAGAAGATGATACTGAAGCTTAAAATAGCCTTCTTAGATTCTTTACAAAAATGGTGATAGGCAGTAGAATCCCGGCAATATAAATAGGGTTTAAAAAAAGAGTTCATGAGTCAAATTATTTGTGTGGAAAAGAAAATTTGGGTTATTGGCAGAATGATAACCCACAGAGAACCTTAGCCCAAGGAAATGATAACTGAAAAGTGTGTAAATGGCAGATACTGAATTATGCATCTAAACTACTGCAAAAATATAAAATGGATTCTTGTAAATGTGAGTAAAGTATGTTTCAGAAGAACATGTCACACACACAGCAGATCTCCCCATTCTCAGAGCTAGACAGAAATTTAACTCTTTAGAACAATGTTCATCCTTTTAAGAGATTTTTTTAAAAGAGTTTTTATTTTTAGACAAACATAAAACATAAAAACATAAACACACACAAAATAAAAATCCTTCTCCAATTACTTACAGTGTGTCAATTGGTTACAAAGCTTTTGTGCTTTCTCACAATAGTCTTCATTTGCAATTTACATAAAGACTCATGTCATCATTCTAATATATATGTATGCAATTGTTATGGTTATTAAACGTTCATTTGACTATAGCTATTATTACATCCTTTTTATGTAAATTATTCTAAATTTAAGATAAATTTATATTATGGCATTTAAATCATTCTGAAATCATCCAATAGTATTACATCTTTATATTCTATTCTATATAGAATTATTTATCTTTTATAACAAAGTTTTTAAACATCCTCTCCGAAATCCTCACTTACAATTTATTATATATGTGTATGTGTATGGGTGTGTGTGTCTCTGTGTGTGTGTGTGTGTGTGTGTGTGTGTGTGTGTGTAAAATATCATGTATAAAATAAAGTATTAATAGTTATAGTTAAATAAATGACTAATAATGATAATAATGTATATGTGTATGTATGTATGTATATATATATATATATATATAT